TGTACACCTGGAAAAACTGGTTTATTGTGCCACTTAGATGATGCATGCACTTCTAATCCATGTCATTCTGATGCTATTTGTGATACGAGCCCAATAAATGGTTCATATACGTGCTCATGTGCAACAGGATTTAAGGGAGTAGATTGTTCTGAAGATATTGATGAGTGTGATCAGGGTTCACCCTGCGAACACAATGGTGTATGTGTTAATACTCCAGGTTCATTTATGTGTAACTGTTCGCAAGGTTTCACTGGTCCACGATGTGAAACCAACATAAATGAATGTGAATCACACCCGTGCCAAAATGAAGGAAGTTGTTTAGATGACCCAGGAACTTTTCGATGTGTTTGTATGCCTGGTTTCACTGGCACGCAATGTGAAATTGATATCAATGAATGTCAATCCTCTCCCTGCTTAAATGATGGTAATTGTCGTGACATGATTAACGGTTTTAAATGTTCTTGTGCACTTGGTTTTACTGGACCACGTTGTCAAATAAATATCGATGATTGTCAATCTCAACCATGTCGAAACAATGGCATTTGTCGTGACTCTATTGCGGGATATACATGCAATTGTCCACCCGGCTATACAGGACTATCATGTGAAATAAATATCAATGATTGCGACTCTAATCCATGTCACCGTGGAAAATGCATCGATGGAGACAATTCTTTTGAATGTGTTTGTGATCCAGGTTATACAGGCTATCTTTGTCAAACTCAAATAAATGAATGTGAATCGAATCCTTGTCAGTACGGTGGACATTGCATAGATCGCATAGGATCGTATATATGTCAGTGTTTGGCTGGTACATCCGGTAAAAACTGTGAAATAAATGTAAATGAATGTCATAGCAATCCTTGCAACAATGGAGCTACTTGTATTGACGGGATCAATATGTACACTTGTAACTGTGTTCCCGGATTTACAGGAGTACATTGCGAAATTAATATAAATGAATGTGCTTCGAACCCGTGTGCTAACAGTGGCGTGTGTATGGATTTGGTAAACGGATATAAATGCGAGTGTCCACGTGGCTTCTTTGATCCAAGATGTTTAAGTGATGTTGATGAGTGTGCATCGAATCCATGCACAAACGATGGAAGATGTGAAGACGGCGTAAATGAATTTATATGTTATTGTCCGCCTGGCTATACTGGTAAGCGATGCGAAATTGATATTGACGAATGTAGTTCAAACCCTTGCCAACATGGTGGACTTTGTATTGATGAATTAAACTACTTTAAGTGCCAATGTATGCCTGGTTATACAGGATATAAGTGTGAAACTAACATTGATGACTGCGTTAATATGCCCTGTGCAAATGGTGGCACCTGTATTGATAAAGTAAATGGCTATAAATGTGTATGTAAAGTTCCATTTACAGGTTTGGATTGCGAATCGAAGCTTGATCCTTGTTCCACAAATAGGTGTCGCAATGACGCAAAATGTACACCATCAACAAATTTTTTGGATTTTTCATGCACTTGTAAATTAGGTTATACTGGTCGTTATTGTGATGAAGATATAGACGAATGTAAGTTATCTTCACCGTGTCGTAACGGAGCTACTTGTCGTAACGTGCCAGGCTCATATAAATGTTTATGTGCTAAAGGATATGAAGGCCGAGACTGTGCTATCAATACAGATGATTGTGCTTCATTTCCCTGTCAAAATGGTGGAACCTGTGTTGATGGTATTGGAGACTACTCTTGCCTATGCGTTGATGGATTCGATGGAAAACATTGTGAAACAGACATAAACGAATGTTTAAGTATGCCATGTCAAAATGGTGCAACATGTCGACAATATGTGAATTCATACACTTGCACTTGTCCACTGGGATTTTCTGGTATTAATTGTCAAACAAATGACGAGGATTGTACTGAGACATCTTGCATTAATGGAGGAACTTGTGTAGATGGAATAAATAGTTATAATTGTTCTTGCTTGACCGGATATATGGGATCGAATTGTCAGTATAAAATTAATAAATGTGATTCCCAACCGTGCAAAAATGGAGCTACTTGCCATGAAAATGGGGAAGAATATACATGTCATTGCTCTTATGGATTTACTGGTAAACAATGCACAGAGTATGTGGAGTGGTGTCCTGAAACGCCTTGTGAAAATGGTGCGACATGTACTCAAATAAAGAATCAATACAGTTGCAAATGCAGTACTGGTTGGACAGGTAAACTCTGCGATGTAGAAATGGTTTCATGTAAAGATGCCGCTACTAGAAAAGGAATAAGTCTTAAATATCTCTGTAATAATGGAACTTGTAAAGAAATTGGAACAATTCACCATTGCAACTGTAAACAGGGTTTTACAGGAAGCTATTGTCAAAAAGAGATAAATGAATGCGAATCTCAACCTTGTCAAAATGGTGGAAGTTGTCGGGATCTGATAGGTACTTATCAATGTATTTGTCGAAAAGGCTTCCAAGGCCAGAATTGTGAACTTAATATTGATGATTGCTTGCCAAATCCGTGCCAAAATGGTGGTACTTGCCATGACCTTGTTGATTCGTTTCGATGTTCGTGTCCTCCAGGGACTCTTGGTATTATTTGTGATATTAACCAGGACGATTGTATATTTGGTGCATGTCATAACAATGGTACTTGTATTGATCGCGTTGGGGGCTTTGAATGTGCTTGTCCTCCAGGATTTGTAGGGTCTCGATGTGAAGGCGATATTAATGAATGTCTTTCAAATCCATGTTCAAACGCTGGGACATTAGATTGTGTACAATTAGTGAACAATTATCACTGTAACTGCAAACCAGGTTACATGGGACGACACTGTGAGAATAAAGTTGATTTTTGTGCTAATTCTCCGTGTCAAAATGGTGGCATTTGTTCTACTAGACAAAGCGGTCATCATTGTCTCTGTTCGGATGGCTTTTACGGAAAGAATTGTGAACTCTCTGGCCATGATTGTATATCTAATTCATGCCAATCGGGAATTTGCGAAATTGATGAAAGCGATGGAGAACATCATTGTGTATGTCCTAAAGGAACAGCGGGAGTTCATTGTGAAATTGATACAATAGATGAATGCGCTCCAAATCCATGTTTGCAAGGAGCTGCTTGTGATAACTTACTTGGTGATTTTGATTGTTTTTGTCCCACAAAATGGAGGGGTAAGCGTTGCGAAATTTTTGATCCCAATTATATGGGATGGATATCTGACACGTCACGTGGAAATTTAAACAAATACACTAAAGATCTTGAATATCAACGTGAAATGTGCGTTAAGAGTAGTTGTGAGCAAAAAAAAGGAAACTTTATATGTGATCCAGAATGCAACACATACGCTTGTAATTTTGATGGACACGATTGTTCGCTTGGTATCAATCCTTGGGTGAATTGTACCGCAACTATAGAATGTTGGCGAGTTTTTTTAGATGGAAATTGTAACGAAGAATGTAATAACGCTGCTTGTTTATATGATGGTAGAGATTGTGACAAAAAACTACAGCCATGTAATCCCAGTTTTGATGGATATTGCCAAAAACACTATGCTAATGGGTTTTGTGATTATGGATGCAATAATGCAGAATGTAATTGGGATGGGCTAGATTGTGAGACAGAAAAACCCAATTTAGCGGATGGTGCTATTTCCGTTGTAATGCTTATGAGTAAAAAACAATTTCAAGAAGCACAGGTTGAGTTTTTGCGAGAAATGGGACATGTTTTACGAACAACAGTTCGTGTAAAAAAAGACTCAATGGGAAACGATATGATATTCATTTGGAAAGGAACAACTCCAATAACTGATTTTGAAAACACCGAATTTGGACGAAAACATAAAATTATTTTCACGGAGCGGAATGATCAAAATGGAATTCAGATATATTTAGAGATTGATAATAGAAAATGTAGAGACTGTTTTAATCGTGCTACTGAAGCGGCAGAATTTTTGGCAGCTACTGCTTCAAAGTATACACTATCAAGGAAATTCCCCATTTTTAGTGTACAAGGTGTGCAAAATCCTGGAGAAGACGTCGATGAAACACCCACCAATGTTAAATACGTAACATTGGGTATTGTTTTAGTCGTACTAGCATTTGCACTATTTGGAGTATTAGTTACAACACAACGTAAGCGAGCACATGGTGTTACTTGGTTTCCTGAAGGCTTTCGTGCACCTGCAAATGCTATCAATCGGCAACGAAGACGTAGAGATCATAGTGGACAAGAAATGCGAAATTTGAATAAAAACCAATCAATAGTTTGTATGAGTAATGATGTCAATATGAATTCGGGACATATAGGTCATGCAGCGCATTGGTCTGACGACGAATCAGATATCCCTCAACCTAAAAGAACACGAAATGATATCACCGGCTATTCAAGTGATCATACAATTGTAACAGATTATGAGGAAGCAGATCCACGAGTTTGGTCTCAAGCACATCTAGATGTAGCGGATGTTCGATCCTCTATTATGACTCCTCCAGCACACCAGGATGGTAAACATGATGTCGATATTCGTGGTCCTTGTGGTATGACACCCTTAATGGTGGCTGCAGTTCGTGGTGGTAGCATTGACACTGGTGATGACATTGAAAATTCCGATGATGCAACAGCTCAAGTAATATCTGATTTACTAGCACAAGGAGCTGAACTAAACGCTACAATGGATAAAACGGGAGAAACTTCATTACATTTAGCAGCCAGATATGCACGAGCAGATGCAGCTAAACGACTGTTAGATGCTGGAGCAGATGCAAATTGCCAAGATAATACAGGACGTACGCCATTACATGCTGCTGTAGCAGCAGACGCAATGGGTGTTTTCCAAATATTATTACGTAATCGAGCTACTAACTTAAATGCTCGCATGCATGATGGAACTACACCATTAATTTTAGCTGCTCGTCTTGCAATTGAAGGAATGGTTGAAGACTTAATTACTGCCGATGCAGATATAAATGCAGCTGATAATTCTGGAAAAACTGCCCTACATTGGGCAGCTGCTGTAAATAATACAGAAGCAGTAAATATTTTATTAATGCACCATGCCAATCGCGATGCTCAAGACGATAAAGACGAAACACCCATTTTTCTTGCGGCTCGTGAAGGATCATATGAAGCTTGTAAAGCTCTTTTAGACAACTTTGCAAATCGGGAAATAACTGATCACATGGATCGCTTGCCACGTGATGTTGCATCTGAACGATTACACCATGATATAGTACGTCTATTAGATGAACATATTCCACGTTCTCCTCAAATGATAATGACACCACAAACATCAATTGGGTCTCCTTCACAAAGTGGTCAACCTCAAATGATTACACAACCTACAGTGATTACCACTGGTAAACAGTCATCACAAGGACCTAAAAATAAGGCATCTAAAAAATCTAAAATTCTTGAAGGTAGTCCAGATACTGGTATGGATACAGGTAGTTTACGACGAAAAACTAACTCAAAAAAGGGAATGAACACAACTTCAAAAAAGGGAGTAAACGGACTTGTAGCAGCACAACTACTAAATGGTTTAACTAGTGGTCACACGGGTTCGGGACTCCACAATACAGTGGACAAACAAATTTTAGATGGTGGAATAAATTCTATCGAGTCACCACCACCGACAGCACTAACAAATTTATCGAGTCCATATGACACATCTTCAGTTTATTCAAATGCGATATCGGCTCCACATCATCATAAAGATCTTTTAATTAATAACAAAAATAAACAACCTCCTAGCTACGAAGATTGCATTAAAGTGAGTAACTTTATATACTTATACATTATACATTTTATTTGAATGTTTATTTGAATACTTTAAACTAATTTACAGCATGCACAATCTATTCAATCGATACCACATCAGAATAATATTGATTTGATAAAAATGGATAATTATGGATTCTCCATGAACGCTGCATTTCATGCCGAAATTCTAGGTAATCAGGGTGTTAATCCGCTTTGTATAACTGGTCGAAATGTACTGGGAAATAATGATCAGGCTTTAAGTCCACCATATTCCAATCAATCGCCACCACATTCAGTACAAAGTAATGTTGCCCTATCACCACAAGCCTATTTAGGTATAATATAAAAACATACAGATATTTATTTACAATACAATTTACAAATTCAATTGTTATAGGTTCCCCTTCACCAGCAAAAACACGACCGAGCTTACCAACATCTCCTACACACATTCAAGCTATGCGTCACGCTACGCATCAAAAACAATTTGGTAGTAATTCAAGCAATATGCTTGCAAATTGCGCATTAACTAACACAAATCCATCTCTATGCAATGTAGCTACAACTTCTAATAATTTATGTTTTCAATCAAATGGAAACCAAAATAATTCGCAACAAACTTCACCAATTAGTTTAGGTATAATATCACCAACTGGTAGCGACGTTGGTATTTTGATGTCTTCTCAGCAGCCGCAACAATCAATAATGCAACAATGTAACACAAAAAATAATGCAACTATACAGCAATTGGGCAATATTGAATATAATTCAGCAGGACTGGATATTAATAGTCTATGTGGATCTCCTGGTAAATTGAGCTTCAATCATTTTTATTGTACAGCTATTAATGTATGTAATGTAATTATTTTATAGATTCCTTTCATTCTGGACAAATAAATCCACCCTCTATTCAAAGTTCTTTGGCAGGGTCGTCACCTTCTTCAAATATCCTTTCACCAACTTCTCAAAATAATCAATCATTTTATCAATATTTAACTCCGCCTAGCCAACATTCTGGTAGTCATACTCCTCAACATTTGGTTCAGACACTTGATAGTTACCCTACTCCTTCGCCAGAATCACCAGGTCATTGGTCGAGCTCATCTCCGCGATCTACATCTGACTGGTCAGAAGGTGTTCAATCTCCAGCAGCAAATAATATATACATATCTGGTGGACATCAAGCCAACAAGGGGTCAGAAGCAATATATATATGACAATGAGTAGCATTATAAATGTAAATTTGTTTTCGCATAATTTTAATTCATTAAGAAATTAATTGTTTTTCAGTAACTGTAAATTTAGCATTGTAATAACTTTTTTTTATATGTTCTCAACATAATATCTGTATTTTTATAAAAGTTAAAGATGTTATATTTTTATAACTGACATTGTGTGTATAATGACGTTAGGCTACGTTATAATTTCAAGATAATTAAGAAATTTTATTTATAATTTTCGCAAATTCATTTTTTATACATTTTTCTATATGTTGAAAGTATAATTTATTTAAGGTAAATTTGTTCGAAGTATTTTAAATATAGTAAACACTAGGCTTATATGTAGTAGATATGTACTGGATTAAAAGCTTCCAATAAAATATTGTAATTTTAAGAAAATTTCACCACAATTTATATTATATTTTATAACAATAATTTTTTATAATCATTAAAACTATAACTTATTTATAAGGTTTTTCATGTAGAAACATATTTTCGAATACTCCATATCTCTCAATATGAATAATTTGAAATTTTAGACGTTAGTACAATTTTTGAATTGACTTGACATTATAAAATTTTTATTATATGTATTTCGAAATTATTTCATTCGTTTGTTTTAAACTAAAAGCTTTAATTTATTTTTTATTCTTAAGGATATATACGATTTCTGTTATATAAAAATATTAAATTATAATATAAAACAAAGTATTCGTAAAAACAAATATAATGCAGATATGTATATTAATTTTCTATACAAAATACATCATCTTTATTTAATAGGTCATATTAAATATATAGTATATATTAATATATTTATAACATATACAATGTTATCCTATAATCTATATATATAAAAGAAAGTTGTGTTAGTTACACCACTTATAACTCAAGAACGGCTGAACCGATTTAGCTGAAAATTGGCAGGGAGGTAGTTTAAGGCCAGGAATAGGATATAGGATACTTTTTATCCCGTTCGACAGCATTCCCGTGTGACTTGACATGAAACGTCAGTGGTGAGAAACGACAAAGTAGGTTTTGAAATTATCAAATTTTTGATATAAGAAAATATTTTATTAAAATTTAACAGATAAAAATATAACTTAGTTAATGTGTTTTCTGTCTGGCGATTTCCGCCAAATACTGCCAGTAATTCCAAGATCTACGGCTGCCGACGAAATAAACGCTTGCCTCAAATCGTCAAATCTATGGCGCTATGTGAAGAAACTGCAACTGACAACAAACATGAGAGTTACATTGCTTAATGATACATCTGCTGAAGATTTCTCGGAGCAATTGCTGACTATCGGTAATGGTCAAGTACCTGTCGATGAATCGAGTGGATTAATATCATTTCCAAATAATTTCTGTAATTTTGTCTCATCAAAAGACGAACTTATCAACAATGTATTTCCAGAAATTATTTCTAACTACAAAAATAATGAATGGTTGAGTGAGCGTGCAATTTTAGCGGCTAAGAATAAAGATGTAGATGACCTAAACTACATAATTCAAAATAAGATCATTGGAACAATGTATTCATTCAAATCTATTGACTGCGTCACAAATGAAGATGAAGCCACCAACTATCCAATTGAATTTTTAAACTCTTTGGACGTGCCTGGCTTACCACCGCACAATTTACGCCTAAAGGTTGGCTCCGTAGTAATCATGCTTCGAAACATAAACCAACCAAAACTGTGCAACGGTACGCGTTTGGTGGTTAGAAAATTGATGAACAATGTAATTTACGCTACGATAATAATAGGAAAATTCAAAGGTGAGGAAGTTCTCATTCCGAGGATACCGATGATCCCAACCGATATGCCGTTTGAATTTAAAAGACTTCAATTTCCGATACGTCTCGCATTTGCCATGACCATCAACAAATCACAAGGCCAATCCTTAAAAGTTTGTGGTTTAAATCTAGAACATTCATGTTTTTCCCATGGTCAATTATACGTGGCATGTTCACGGGTCGGAAGACCATCTGCGTTGTTTGTTTTTGCGCCTGATAATAAATCAAAAAATGTCGTGTATCACAAGGTACTTAAATGAAGAGCAACCTATGTACTAAAATACACAAATAAATTATGAATGATTAATGTAGGTATTTTTTTTTTTGTATTTTTTCCAATTAAAAAAAAACTGCTTATTTATTGCCTTTAAGGCGGAACAGAGTTCGCCGGGTCATCTACTAGTATATATATATATGTATATATATTGTATAGATCGCCTTTTGTTGCCAGAAATTCCAGCCTAACCCTGAATATCAGTTACCTGGATATCAGTTAGAAAGTTTATTTGTAGTTTTGATAGATCTGTTCAAGGTCAAAATATACATACTTATCTATCGTGTAAAATTTGTTTTTGAAAGATGGTTGTAGCTCTGTTTTTACGCAAGGCTTCCGTTCTGGTTTAGTTTGTAGATATACCATCCCAACTTTTTTTATTACTGAGTTTTATGAAATTTGGAAGAATACTTTAAAAAGTTGTTTTGCAAGAGTATCAAATTTCTTGCAATTGAGACAACTGCTCACGCCAATCTTATTTATCTCATCTATGGAATGGCTCCCTATTTCTTTGCGATACAATATACGCGTGAAGAGGTGTAAGTTCTAGAGAATCTCAATCGATGCTATTAATTGATAATCAATCTTACTTTGTTAGTTTTATGCCAAGTTTAATTCTGTCACGTAGAGTATTTTCATCTTTTCCTCTACATATTATAACTATGTCATCTGCTTAGTATTGGAATGATTACATTTGTTTTCTTATTCTATAAATAGTTTATACTCGTGTTGATAAGACTTCTCCTTGTCAAGAGCTAGTTGGAATTTGATATGAACCTTATAACTCATCAATAGAGCTACTGTGTTGTTAACACCTCTTCTGATTAGCACTCTACTACTTGCTTGATACGAATAATTATCAATCACCTTCAATATCTAGAAAGGCACATCATTTTATTTCTTTCTTTTCCATGCTGACCTGAAGTATATTGGTAAAAATATATAAATATAGAATACATAATTGTTTAAAGTTTCCATTGCTTCCGTGACAATGGTTCTATGACAGAGTATTAAAATTTAATTATAAAAGGAGTTATAGTAAATTATATAACGGTTGAGTTTAAAAAAACAGAATTTACAATGTTACAGTTTTTTATTTACAAAATACATTCTATATATAGAATACATGTAATTGTTATAATAAATTATGTATAAATTTTGTTATATATAATAAAAATAATATCTGCTATAGTTGTGAATGCGTAATATGTTCTGAAGATTTATTAAATTTCATTTGCATTTAGATTAATATTTTGTGCTCCTTCGTCGAACTGGACTAGTTTTATTGAATAGCATTTTGCGATTATATTTGCGATTCCGCAAAACTCAACTAAACAGATTTATATTTTGATATTATCATAATTATTAATTCTCTACGTAGCGCAGACTGTTATCATTATTGAGATTTAGAATTCGTACAGGATTAACTTCAATATCTTCAGTGTCGCATGTCACTTCCTCTTCTGTAATGAAATTGCTTGCTTGCACCAATATATGATGTTTACGAACAAGCGGTTTAGGTGTTTGATTTGCGGTGGCCTTTTTCAATTCCTTCATATCCAATTCTTTGAGATGTGCTGCTTTTAAATGTACCTTATATCTGAAGAATATAAAACATGTATTTTCATTCGATGCATATTCTTGGAAGGTTAAAATAAACTTACTTTTGTCGGGAAGGGTATGACTTTAAACAATAACTGCATGTGAACGGCATCGCAGCAGGAGTATGTAAGTAGGAGTGTTCATTGAGAGCTTTGCTTGAGGTAAATAATTTACTACATTGATCACATTGCAACTTCAAACCTTGGTGCCGCCACATATGTGACCGTAAATGTCCTTTTATAGCAAACTTTCTGTCGCATAAGTCACATTCATAGGGAAAGTTGCGTGTGTGAAAGCGCATATGAACGTTCAACTCATATTGGCGGGAAAATGGTTTCTCGCAGACTGTACATTTGATTGTATCCCCAGAATGCATTTTCATATGGTTATCCAATGCAATTTTCGATTGATATTGTTTCTCGCATTGTTTGCACTCATAGACTTGGCGCTCATCACCATGCATCTTTTTATGTTGACGCAAATAGTACTGTGTTGCAAACTGCTTGCCACAGACGTCACAAGGATCCGACTTTGCTTTTGTTCGCTTTCGATCGTGGTAATTCAAATGTGCTTTGAGAATGCTTTTTGAGATGTAACTTTTTGCTGAAATAAAAAAAATTAACATTTTTCGTTTTTATGTTATTTGATTTCTAACAAACTTACAGCAAATCTTACACATATATCTTTCACTTTGGTCATGTGTATTATGTACGTGGATTGGCATTTTAAACTCTCTGCATATGTGCTCACACTGAGTACATTTGACAAAATTTGCGTGTTGCTTATGTTCGTGTTGAAATTTGGAAATATTGTAAGGTATTTCTTCATTACATATCATACATTCGTCGATCTTATTTTTTTTATTCTGCAAGGATGTGCCATTGGTGCCATTATGCATTTCCTTAGCACTGCATACCAATAAATGTTCAGCTAAAAATATATTATTTAATAAAATGAAATTTTTAAACCAAATAGGACAGACATATTGTCGTCTTATCGGTTTCTTCAAGCTGCCTTTCTGATGGTGTCTCTTTACTGCCAAACACATTAAGGGGCACAATTTCTATATGTTTATTAACTTCATTTCGTATGTCGAACAGCTCATCGCACTTACTGGATGCATCCGATTTATCTAAAATGAATTAACTGGTAAAATGAACGATTTCCAAATATATTGACAGTATATATTGGTAATATCTACAATTGTATTTCTCTTCAATCTTATGGGTGTTTTCAACTTCAATTATAGCGTCCTCATTGTCTAGCTATAAAATAATTTAATTCAGTGAACGATTCATAAAATATTTTAGCCTTTACCTCAATCTCTTCTCTACATTCTAAATGCTCTGCATCAATAATTTCATAATGAATATCTTTAACATATTCTAGTAAATGTTCACTTTGTCCAGTATTTTTGAATAGGCCTCTTATAATTTCATCTGATTGTTTTGCTTTTTGTATAAAGTTATAAGAATCTTTAAGTTTAAGTGCACAATCCGCACACAAATTGTGAAAGAACTCATCCCCGTCATTTGTCAATACAATATCTGTGCAAGCTTGGAAATAATCGGAATATGTTAAATTCATTTCCGTACCGCTAACTAAATCACAAATTGGGGTTTTAAAGTCGATAAGCTCAATCGAAATATTCAAACAAACTCTACAAACCGGCTCCGATAAATTCATTTGAGGATTCAGAGACTTATGCAAAGCCACTTGTTAATGCAAGAAAAGTAAACAGTGGTGAATATCTTACATTCAGCTGTGCCTAACATTGAGTGTTGTAAAATGGTTTTACGATTGCAGTTGCTTTTTAGAATGTAATGAAAATGTCTAATATGTGACACCTATAAAAATATTTCATATTAATGAAAACACTTTTAAATATCTGTTGTAAATATTTATTATTTTACGAGCGTTTATCACTTTACACGTAACGTATGTTTTTTTTTCTTGCTTCTGAGAAGACCCGCTGAATACTGATTGACGCTGGACCATTAGTTAGTTGCTGTTTGTACTTCGGTTTTTGTATCACGCTAGATGGCGTTGTGCTGTTTATTGAGTTCGCATAGATATAACAATATGTGGGATTTCTGTATTATGACTTCATTATTAATTAAAACACTTTTAAATATCTGTTGTAAATATGTATTATTTTACGAGCATTAGTCGCTTTACATGTAATTATGTTTTTTTTTTCTCTTGCTTCTGAGAAAACGCGCTAAAAACTAATGGACCGTGGACCATTAAGTTAGTTGTTGTTTGTACTTTGGTTTTTATATCACGCCAGATGGCGTTGCGCTGGTTAATATGTTTACCACATATATAAAGTAGAAAATAAATTGTTAAAGTTTTATTCAACTTAATTTATTTTATAAAATATAAATTTTGCTGCAGATTTTATATAAAAAATAAGGTAACATCAAAACAAAGCACAGATAAGAGTTATATGTATATACATATATACGATATTAATGGATAATGTATTTAAAATTGAGAAAATTCTGTTAAAGTAATACAAGCATGCAGGACTCAACTTGTTAAATAGAATACGTATATTATTGGTGATATTGATTAAATATATCGATAATGCCAGTGTCATCTATGTAATTGTTCGTATGTTTCTAAGTAAATATGTCCATCACTTATTATACACAAGGTATCTCAAAGACAATACTAATCATAAGTACAATGTATCAAAATGAATATGATCCAAGTTTCATAAAATCAAATCTAGAATCTAGTCACAGATCTAGACCAGTGAAGTTAATACGTTTTTTTAACGTATTATAAATGTATCTGCAAACACAAGGTCTGATATATTTATGAGAAATTTATTTGTTTTTCATCAATTTTTTCTTCAAACTAATTATATCAAAAATTGTATTTAATATTAGAACCAAAAGTAAAAAAAATTTAAAAAGAATATTAATCAGAGTTTAAAAAATAAACATATTCAATACCGTATTTTTTAAAATAAACATCTGTGCGGTCTGCAAATTGTTAATATTTTTTATTTAAACGATCTAATTTTTGTATTTTTCATTTTAATTATTTTCCTTTATTTAAATATGTGTAGGGTAACAAATTAAGTTGCTCATTTTGTATACATATAAATATATATCATAAACTGGTACTCACTTAAAATCTTATAAATTACACTTATTTAATATGTATATAATAAAACAAATGCATAACATTTAACATTCACTTAAAATATATTCACCTGAAAATAGTGACTCGAAGAAATATGTGTTTACTTAATATAAATTAGTTCTTAATTAATTAAATAATAAGTTCTTAATTAATTAAATAATTAATTCTTAATTATTCATATATTGAGTTTTTTGTTAATTAAAGTATTAGTTTGTAGATGTATTTACTTATTTCTAGATAAAAATACAATACATGTATATGTGTACATAAACATTGTACATTAATTAGTGTATAATATAGAAACAACGCTTATGCAATAATTACAATATATAATTAACTAATATATTTATTATTTACCCAGTCTTTGATCACGCTTAGTTGTTAAATTTTCTGTTTAAAAATTAGTAGTTCACATAACGTATAAATATTTATTTTAACCACATATGCTATATATTTTTCTAAAAACAATTAATTATAATTTAAATAATCACAATTAACCCAGTAAAATATAATAACTGATTTACTTACATCCAATACAACAATTATAATTATTTTAGGTTTGTAATTCATTTCTTTTATAATTATTTATACAAATATTTGTTGCACATAAGCACTTTCTAATTTTCTAGTTAATTTTGTGCTTAATTGTGCTTTAGACACTTAAGTACTCAGTATTGTTAAGTTTAACTTACTCTTAATTATATATAAAATCTTCACACTAAATAATTTATGTATTGTTAGAAACAAATTAACGGTAATAGATAATATAGTGTCACAACATCACACGGAACACATTTAACATATATACATCTATAAATATATATGCATTTTGATTATTATTTTCATATACGCCATCTTACGCCAATTTAACAAATCAATAAATTAATGCGATAAAGGACTAAACATAATTACTGGTTAATATTGTTTTTCAGATTTGTTTGTGAAAATGATGCTATCGTACTTAGGGATACGTGCTGTATTTCCAAAAATAATAATAGTACTCATTTCATCTACATATGTTTGTGTATATGAACCTCGGCTTATTAGGTATTCTAAGGCATACGTACGCACGTACGCACGTATGTATATATGTAATTTAAGTAATATAAAATATAGATATAGTCAAAAAAATAGTAACGCTCGGATATTTATTGAGGTAGTTTTTATAACAAATTGTTTTTGTTTTGTTGTATTTGAGTTTTATCGAAAGAAATTGGACTTTGAATATATGTATTGAATTTGTCAAGTAATCAATTGCTGTAATCATGAGAGAGAAGGATACCTCTGAAACCCTTTATTTTTTTAATATATTATTTTATATTTTAAAAAAATTTAAATATTGTTTATATTTCTCTTATTAATTTATTATATATATATATATATATATAAAGTCATGCATGGGAAAAGGAAACCTATTGGTCACAGTAGTATCTCAGCGCCACTTTTACACCTACTTCTCGGCAAGCCCATGCTTGAAAACTAATTTATTATATAAAAATTTTTTTTTCGAAATAAATTTTATTTTCTACGCGAATACTTTTTAAACATTGTTGTATATTTTTAGTTCCCTATTCGTGGCAAGTGTATAGAAATCTGCACATGGTACTTTAGTGCCTTACAATATTCTATTTTTCTAATTTTGAATTTCTTTAGATGTTGCAATATTTGCTGAATGAAATGGTTGCTTTCGTTGCATTAATGTCGTTGAAATTATCTGCATTCTAACACTTGAATTTTGCTAATATTTGAAGACTTTACATCTTGAATTCATTAAAGTTTTCCCTAAAATCACAGAGATGTGTTGCTGTTTCTTCATTTTGAATCAGTTTAACATACCTGTATGAATTTGAAACCTTGCTTTCTTCGTATATACGAGTATTAGGTATTATTGCATATAATTATAATTAACATTTTAACATAACATAGTAACATAAACACTACTTGTGAAAGTAATGCCATTATGCAGTACTGGAACTATTAAGGCGACGTTTTGCCATTTGCACATCATCATCGCTCTCTGCACAGCTTAAGCTCATGCTGATGCTGCGTTTTGTACCACACAAACTGTCATTATTATCCGATCTACCATTTTTTTCATTGCCATCATTTTTATTGTTGACATCTTCAGGATTACTCTCACTGGTCGAGGGAGATCTAATACGTTGATTTTCTCGTAAAAATTTTGCTGCTGTATTGCTTATAACGCGTATGCTTTTGGATATTGAAACTTTAACAGATGACGCTTCAGGTGGCACTAAAGATAGTGGTGGTGTCTTTGTGGTGCGTATAGATGCTGAGGTACTGTAGGGAGATGATGCATTCGTTAACGATCGCTTTCGCTGTGAACTGTAACTGCCTGGAGATGATGCATTGTGTTCCTCATCATCTGAAGATGAACGTTGCAGGTTTTGTATTAGGCAGAGTACAGCTCTCTCCAATTGTAACGGATTTTCTGAAGCCGGTACATCGATTAATGAGCATTGTGGTATTTGCTTATTTACAATGACCGCATATTTAATTTTCATATCCTGGACTCTACGTTTTCCTTCTGATTCATCAAGTAAGGTATTTACGCATATAAATGAATGTACTTCATTTGTTTCCTTATCAATTTCTAAATATCCTTTTGATTGTAAATAGATAAAGTGACCATTACGTGTAAGTAAACGGTACGTAGACTCTCCATAGGAACTATTACAATCGTACACTATAATAAAACATTACATAAAAATACTTTTTTATATGTAGGAGTTTTGATGTACATACTCTGTCTTAAAGCTACTATAACCCATCTGACATCATCTTGATGTATAAAAGTGAATGGACTCAAGTTTCTTACTTCATCCGTCATATAACCAGCAACTAAACCAATGCGTTGATCGCAGTCGATAATACGACCATCTATTAAGTGCCTTGTTTTATATTCCAACACACTAACATCAGCAACACGATTAATAATTTTGGGTTCTCTTATAATGCGAGCGACAGCTACAAGTACCTTTATAATGGATAAAATTGATATAAGTGTTATCAGCTTTTGACTAGTGGATCTATCTTCGATTAACTTACAATATCATTTCCACTGATTGTATGTAATGGTATTGAATCATCACGACCTCTTGTACGACGGATCAATTGTAAAGTTGATGGAAATGTATTGGCTTTAACACCACGCGGTGCACAATCACTTCGACGGAAACTACCATCGATTCTAATAAGCTCGTATGTGGTGGGTTCAGAACGTGGTCCAGCACGTGCAAATCTAAAAAAAATAATATATAACACTTATTAATCTATATATTAAACTACAGATTGTAATATGTTTTAACTGTGTACCTAACAGTAAAATTTCGTTTATCTTCACGCAGTTTTGTATCAATATGCTCTTCTTCGGCCTGTGTTCGGGGTTGTGGTTCTGAGCCATTTTCGGTCTGCACGTCAAAAAGTGTGTCTAAATTATTAGGTATGAGGTGCTGTTTGAGCATAGCATGATCCTCAGGATGTGTTATATGCAAGATATTTTGACCATATAAATCAGCCTAGAATTAGTAAAAA